GCTTTCCTGCTACAATAGTGGGGAGATTATGCACCAGAGACCGTATAGCCCACAAAGCATGAGTATCTACAGAGCGTGAGCCAACCTCTGATCTAAATGATCAGTGTATTCTAGTGCCCACTATTCCAATGGCTTAAATCATGTTCAAATCTCACTCTGGTCTGCTGTTCTCTTTTCTCCTCCAGTCTTGTTATCTAGCAGCCTACTGGCATCTCTATTTCGATGTCTCATGGGCATCTCTAGCTTAACTGGTCCCAAAGTAAACTTGCCTTCTTTCTGCGCAAGCATGCTGCCCTGCGCTGCATAGCACAGACTGGCACCACCTACATCTCCAGGTCAGGAACCTGGGATCATCCTGGTCTATGCTGTCTTCCTCACCTCCCATTCCCTTTCAGTCTCAACCTCCTCCCGATTTCATCTTTTAATATCCCTTGGCACCAAGCCCACCTCTCCATCCTGGCTGATGCTCCCTCAGCCAGGCCTGTCCCATCTCCTGGCTGAACTCCTCCAAGGCCTGGGTTGGACTTGCCTCTGAGTGCTATATCCATGAAATGGATTATTTTCTGGTTTTGTGGTTCTTTGTTTTAAGGCTCTGTAGTCTGGTTCTATTTAAAAAACAGAATAGTAATAATAATCCCAAATATATGTATTTTATTTTCAAAGCTTAACAAGGCACTTTCATACTCATGATATCTTCTGATTCTGGGACAGCCTGGGGAGGGAGTGGTTGTAATTGTCCCTAAGAGGGGCTTGGGGTGTAGAGGGGTTAAATGCTTGTCTAAGGCCATCTGCTTTGGAATCATAATTCAAACCATGTCCCCTGACTCTGTGCATTTCTTGTCTTTCTTTCGTTTTTAATTTTTTTTTTAAAGATTCTTCCTCCCTAAACATCTGAAATTCAGCTTTCTTTTCCCTTGGACAACTAGAAATCCATCAGGTAATATTTTATATGTGTTAGGTTCCCACTACAAAGATCAGTATTAAAAAAAATGACAGCGACTTATTATTTATGGCAATATCTATTGTTACTAAGGGAGACAGACCAAACAATTCCCCATTGTTACAGATGCTACTTTGACTTGACAGCTGGGAAAGTCTGATAGGCAGTTTATTTACTTAGCCATTTAACCAAATAAATGTTTTCATTTTTCTTTCATCTCCTCAAAAGCCAACATTTCGCCCTTAAAATTGCTCCAGCAACACATCAGTGAAGTATAAATTACCTGCCATTCCCACACCAGCCATTATAATATTATTTTGGTTCTTGCCCCTGTTGACCCAGTCTTTCAAAGACACGTGATTTTCCCAGATGGGAGGGTAAGGGGGAAACTGAAGCAATTGAAACATTTCTCTTTATTGCTAAAACAGGTTGAGATTGGCCCTGAAGCTTCCACCTGTGAAGACTGAGTCCATCTGTCTCCTCTTACTGTGGCGTGACATGGCTTTAACTTATCTACAGATGTCACCTCTACCTACTTAGAATTGTGCAGGTATTTCTAATAAGAAGCAGCTGGAGATAATGGCTGCAAGGGCGATAAGAAGGATGGGACTCTTGCTTTCTAACTGTACGAAGGCAGAGGGGAAAATAGGGCCACAGAAATAACTCTCTCTGCATGGTATCCCTTCCCCAAATGTCTGGAAAAGCATTAAGTGATTGCGGTTAGTAAATTTCCAGTTGGGTGGATGGGTGAATGGGATGGAGACAGAAAGATCACATGTGGCTTGTGCTGCTGTTGATGGAGGGGCCCAGAAAGCTCATTTGGACTTCCCTTGTGGGTGTTTTAGGGGATATTCCTGCAAGGCAGGCATCAGAGTCTTGGCATGCAATTCTTGATAGGCAATTGTGAAACTGCCACGCTAAGCCTTCAAAGGGAGAAAATTGCTTCATTGAAGATTACAGTCCAGCCCTCCTTTGGAGCTGGGAGCTACTTATTATGATTTACATGTGAATCCAAGACTGCTCATTTTTTGGAGTGAGAGGTGGCCTAGGAGGCCCTAACCAGTGTCATTCTGATTAGGGGGCATGGCAAGCCAGAGAGCTAAGAAGTGGGATTTTTCTTTTTCTTTTTTTTCCCCAAGGCTGTTTTGAGGCATACTGAAAATTAATTACCTGAGGATAGAAAGCACAAAGCAAAACCTCCTAGCCAATGGCCTGGGTCCTTATGGTAGAATTTATTCAAAATAAGGGCTAAATGTATAAGATCCAAAGTAGTGGGGAACCAACATTTATGAGCACATATGATGACGGTGATGATGATCATGATGACGACGACAATGATGACGATGATGATGGTGGTGATGGTGGTGCTGGTGGTGGTGCTGGTGGTGTGATGGCAGCTAATACATTTTGGGTGCTTTCTATGTGTCAGACATTGTGCTCAGAGCTCCACATACATCAGCTCATTTAGTCCAAACAATAACCCTATGAGGAAGACGCTGTTTTTCTCCTTACGTTTCAAAATTAGAAAATTACTATGAAATTTCTTTAGGGTCATATAGCTAGTAATCGGCGGAGCCAGATTCTGAACTCAGACAGTCTTGCTCCAGAATCCAGATCTTTAAGCTGAATTTTAAGCTAAGTACTAAGTATCTGTCTCCCTGCTAGAGACTCAACATACGCCATCTCAATTAACAAAATAGATAATATAAGCCTCTTCTAGCAGATGAAGAAACCAAGACACAAAAGAAATGATAGTTCTTGCCCAAGATTTCCTGCTATTAAGTAGCTGAGCTAGAATTTGAACTCAAGTTCAAACTGAGCTCTTCCCACTATACCATGCTACGTCCATGGACAGCTCAGCCCTGGCTTGGAGTTCTGGATGGAGCATCCAACGTGGAACAGGCTAAAGCGCTACGAAACAGTTCAGCTGGTATGACTGTCTCAAGCCGAACAGGCTCATAAACATGAGGGTTTGATACATTGCTCTGCAAATGGTATAAGTCATCTTTGTTTTCTAGAAGAACGTCAATGTTAGGATGATGTTTGCTGATATCCTGATGAATGGCTCCTGTCACGTCTAGTTCATTCATCAAGTTTTCAAGGCAAGGTTGAGTACATGAAATAAAACATATGCAAGGGGTAGAAAACCTCTTCGGGAATCTTCCCAAGGCATCACCCATTATCCCTAACTTTTCTCTTTCCTGGAACATTGACTTTGCTTTAATTCACCAGCTCCCCAAGCAGCTTTGCAGGACTGAATTTTCAGATGGCTATTACATGGCTTTGCATGGCATGATGTGTTCTCGTGTACTATTATACTGATATAAAATGTGGCAAAATATATGGTATGTTAAGTTGTTTAATCATAAAATCCATTAACAAAATGCACTTTCCAAACACTGTATTAGCTTTCAATAAGCGTCAGAATAACTTACATGTGAACTGAGAATGATTCTGAGGCAGCCTCAGAATCCATTTATGACCAGTGAAAACTATTTACCATTTTAATGGTTCTGGCTATGCTGTTCAGACTAAAAAGGAGCTCTGTGGGTACCGCCTTGTAGGCCTACACATTTACGGAAAACTCGGAAAGTATCTGAAAATTGAACACATTTGTTAAGGAGCGACCTTAGAAATCCTGTCTGGGTAACAAGGTGTACTTCTCTCTCCCCAGAAAGTCTGCTTCATCAGCTCCTCTGTCTTTCTATCAAATCAGATGTATTGAAATTCAAGTGCCAAAAGCCACTTCTAGTAAATGCAAGCACACTGCTCTCGAAGCAGCTGCTGATGGAATCTGAAGTGGGTTGGCGGCAAACCACATGCTGTAGCACAGGTGTGAGCAGCAGAGCCTCGGAAGTGAATGCTACATGTCCTCAGGCTTTGAATTTCACTTTCTCATCAGGCCCCTTTTGGCTAGACAAAATGGGCTACCATGATCTTCCGTCTCTACCAATCTTATTGCAAGCACTGCTTGTTTTTGCTTCTTAGTCTGGCTTCTCAGTGTGCTTGGCTGGTAACCTCTTTAGATCTGTGGAGTGTAGGCAAATGAAGTGACACTTTGCTTAAAAGATGAGAGCATCTGGACCATGTCTCACTGAGAAATGATCAGGGTGGGCGGAATGTGTCCATCTCGGAATGTTGATGCTTTCAGAAACTGAATCCACGTTAAGTGGTATTGGTTATGCCTCATTCTAACACCACTACCCACTCAGAACATATCATTAATAAAATACTATGACCATTCCACACTTTTCACCTTACCCCACCTCCCAGGATTTGTCAAAAGTCATGCATCCATGAGGAAAATCAAGGTGGCAAACAGACACCAGGCAAGGAGAGATTGTGCAAACATCAGGGATATGCTCAGCCAAGGAGAGATGGTGTGAACATCAGGGATATGCTCAGCCAAGGAGAGATTGGACAAACATCAGGGATACGCTCAGCCAAGGAGAGATGGTATGAACATCACGGATATGCTCAGGCAAGGAGAGATGGTGCAAACATTAGGGATGTGACTTCAGAAGTGAAGAACAAGCAAAAGGAAAAGCAGATAGCTTAATGGTGAAGGGGATAAAAAGAACAGATACCTACCCAGACCTGCGCTATCTAGCTACCGGCCTGTGGACTTATATTATCACCACTGGGCTCCCCACTGGGCTCCCCAAATGGATCACTGTTGGATGAGGCCTGTGACCCATCAGGCTAGAACACAAGAAGATAACACTTTTTTTTTTTTTCTTTTCAACAACCGAAAATAAAACACAGCTGGGTACATTTTCATGCACACATATAGTCAGTTATTTTAAAGGAGGCAGCAACTTCAGTTAGAGGATGCCACACCCTCAATTATGCGAACTTGTAGGAATAACTTAATGAAAGGAGAATGTTTGCAGCTGCTCATCCGAACATAAAAGAAAGCCCCGTAGTCAAGCCCTTTAGCACGTGAGCGTCTGAGCCAGCATTCTTTTCTATGTAGGTTCCTCATGCATTGCCCACTTCGGATCTACAGGTTTTAACTTTAAGGAAAAACAAAGACAGAAAGAACAAACTGGTCACTTACAGCTTCTTGCTCTTCGCTTTTGCTGGGACTCTCAAAGCCCTCCTCGAAGATGTCGTCTGTGGTGGGATCGCTGGCGTGGGATGCAGACGATTTGGATGGAGAGCTCTGTCTAGGGGCTGGGGTTGGAGCTACACAGAGACCATGCAAAAAGAGGAAGCACCATAAGTGTCCCACAGAAACCTCAGGGGTCTGGTTATACTCAAGTCCAGTCACAGGACTCTTCTTCCTATCACAAGTCAAATCAGTTGAACGGTTTAATACCCTCTCTGTACATATTTATCTTGTCCTCTCACAAACTTGATGATCAGGAAGGAGCTGGTCCACACTGATGAGTGAGGCAGTGGTTCTCAAGGAACGGGCCCTGGATCATCAGCATCAGCCACATCTGGGAACTTGTTAGAAATGTGCATTCTTGGACCCCATCCCAGACCTACTGAGTCAGAATCTCTGTTTTTCTGCACACTCAAGTTGAGAGCCACTAGACTATAATTTTCTTTCTTTTCTCTTTCTTAACATCACGCAGTTAGTTCAATATGAACAAATCGATCAGAGGACAGTACATTTATTGAGTGTCTTCTATGTGTCAGACACTGTCAGAAAGTTTACAGACACTGTCTCCAGTCCTCAGAAAGCCTATGGGAGGTAGGATTTTTCCCAATTTTACAGATAAGGAAAGCAAAGGTTGCTAAATTGCTCAAGGCCACATAGGTGGCATCTGGCAGAACCAGGCTCTGTGTCCCAGCACACATTTGATGAACGCACGTTGAATGAAGAGTGTCTCAGTGATCTGGGAAAACAGAAGTACCTGGTGGCAACTCTATTCCTCATTCCATAAGGATATGCATTTTCTATACTCCCCACATTTTCCTTGTCTCATTTGTCCCAGAGGTTTATAACAAATAGACCATTTGAAGCTACGCTTCCTTTTGATAATTTCTAATTTGGTATTGGAGATACCAGTCACCGGCTCAGCCCTAGGTGAGGGGGTGCTGTGGCTTGATTTAGTAGTTGGATTTCAAACATCATTGATAAGGCCTCCCTGTCATAACTGCCCAGAATTTACGAAATCCTGGCTGCACATCGGTCAGTGAGTGATTGTGAAACTTGGTGAGCACCTCTAGCCTCGATGAACCTGTATTTAGAATAATGACGCTATTTACGGTGCGCCAGAGAGTCAGACATTGTGCTCAGCACTGTGCATTCACTATGCTCTCTAATACAAACGCCTCAACGTGGTATTATACCTACTGTTTTTTTCTGATGAACATACTGCAGCTCAGAGAGGTGAAGTGGCTTTCTGAGGATTGCACAGCTATGAAATAGGGACACTGGGATCTACCAGGTCCTGGGTTTCTCTATTCCTATTTGAGCTTCACTCTTGGTCCAGCCAATGCTCCACTCAAAGCAGTCTAAAGGTGACGCTCATGGAGAAGAGGATATAAAGATTGGTTTCACTCATTTTCGTTAAAATAAAATGTTTTTTTTTTTAATTGAAACAGAAGTCTGTTTTGTTTCATGATTATGGAACTAGTCATAGTGTGTTTAAGCGAGATAAGCAACATGAAAACATCGTGATATGTGGCAGATATTTAGTAAATATTAGTGCAATTGGATTCTGAACTGTGTCTGAAGTGGTTTATCGCTTACTACAGGCTGAGAGCCCAGGCTGAGCTGCCAATTCTGAGAGGTATACTGCTCATACTTATCTGAGGAAATCGATGGGAAGCGTAACTAGAAGTATTTATACCAGCATTTTAATCTTGAAGGGTCTGTACTCTCAAATTGTGGCTCTCAGTCTGGGGCACTTCACTCCCAGGGGATATTGGCCATATCTAGGGCCATGTTTGATTGTCTGAGAGGGGAGAGGAGGTTTACTCTGGCAGCTAATGGGGAAAGCCAGGGATGCTGCTAAACATCCTACAATGCACAGGACAGTCCCCACAACAAAGAATTATCTGGGCCAAAATGCTAATGGTGCCAAGGTTGCAAAACCCCACTCTGAACACAACAGTAACTGGTGGCCTTTGTTTTGTTCATTTCATTCTCTACAACCTTTCCCAAATGCCTCCCACGTGCTAGCCACCCTGTCAGCATTATGAGAAGGGTAGGAATGATTCAGACAGACCCCCTGTCCTCAAAGAACTTAAACTTCCCCTGTTTATTCCAGCTGGCGCCCAGCCCATTGAGAGAGGGACACTTGTTTTTAAAAGATGCTTGCTTATTTAGGCATGGCTGTCATTTCTTTAGCATTTCATTTTTTATTCATTATTCTTCATTGAAAGCTTGTGAGCTCCAGTTCACAGAGATGTTCCCACCATGTTGAACATGCAGCCTGTGTGGAGCTAGATTGTTTATACACACAGAAGGCACTCATTGTCAGAGCAGCCTTCTGAACCTGGCTGAAACGACACTACCTAATTGGGTTAACATTAGATTTTTTTGACAATTCACAGTATTGGCCAAGCAGTGATCCGTATCGTCTGTGACAGTTATGAAAACACCAAATTCATTGTTCCATGAGCCTTTTGTTTCCCCTTTATCAACTGTCGGGAAACAGGCTGAACCACCAGACACCTTGCTCGATGGTGTCGACCAAGCACAGACGGGCTCAGGTGTACCTGGATTTTGATTGGCTGTGTGGCTACAGTTTTCCAGGTGCTTGCAGTGGAAAAGTGAGCTGAGGCAGAATCACTGAATGCCGAACCAGGAGGCACACACTATCCAGGCAGCTCACTCATTTTACCCATGAAACTGCTGAAGTTAAGAGAAGTCACACACTTGCCCAAAGACACGGCTCGTGGTAGAGGAGACAAGACTAGAACCCCGGTCCAGAACTCTGCCCCAAACCACTCAGTACGTGATAATAATGATGATAAAAATGCTCCAAACTTTGTGAGGTATGCAATGGTTTAGGACAGGTATACCAAATCCTTTTACTAACCCTTAGACTAAGACAGACGAGGAAACTGAGGCTCATACAAATAAAACGACTTGCCCACTGGCACGAAACTATTAAGTAATAAAGCTGCTACCCGGGTTTCCAGTCTAGAGCTTTGTGCTACACCATCTTTTTTCCTGTTTGACCACCCAAAGCTCTGAGCCAAAATCTGGCTTCAACTACACCAGTTGTATGAGATGTTATGGCTGCCAAACCTCGGCCCTAAGTTTTCTCCTGATCTTAATTTTCTATTCTAATTTGTTATCCTTGTTCCCAAAATGTTTTTCTTTTCTTTTTTTAGTAGAGTGATCAATTAGTGCCTGGCACATAGTAGGCACTCCATGGTGGCCAATATTTATTTATTTTTTAAAATTATTTTTGCTGGGAAAGATTCGCGCTGAGCTAACATTTGTTGTCAATCTTCCTCTCTTTCTTTGTTCTCCCCAAAACCCCAGTACAGATTTATAACTTCTAGCTTTTCTATGTGAGCCGCTGCCAAGGCATGGCAACCGGCAGATGAGCGTTGTGGTTCTGTGCCCGGGAACCAAAGGTGGCCACCAAAGCCGAGCGCAGCAAACTTTAACCACTAGGCTGTCGGGACTGGGCCTTAAAATTTTTTTAAATTCACATTCGCCATTCATTTTTATTTCAGTAAACCATACCAAATCTGTGTGTCATAAGCAGGGATATACGGAAATGAATGAATGAGCAAATAAACAAACCGTAGGAGGCAAAAATGTGACATGGTGGAAAACAGCAGGCTTGTGTTCAGTCCTACCATTCTGTCTGTTCTCTTTGTCTGAGTCTCACTTTCATCATCTTTCTAACAAACTCATCCCTAGCACTGTTACAAGTATAAAAATAATAAATATAACACAGATAGAGTAGGTATGTGTTATGATTGATCCCTAATAATCGGTAAGTCTTATTACTACTACCAGTAGTGATATGAATAAGAGGGCTGTGAATGTAAACTGAGATGAGTTCTCTGACCCCAGGAATGAGGCATCGCTGTCACTGGGTTTAGGTCTCCAAAGACGAGCACTCACGTGAGTTGGTCGATGGCGTGGTAGAAGTCACAGGGGTCAAATTCAACTGGGAGATGTCAAAGTCATCACAGTCGTCTGTATCCTGTGCCACCCCAACTTTGCTGAAGTAACTGGAGAAGGCCTCTGAGGTGCAGGTGAGGGAGGGTTGGTCGGGTTTGCGGGAGGGCACGGGTGGAGGCTGGGCCATCTGGAAATCCTTAAACATTTCTTTTCCCATTTTCTGCCTGGGCTTGTCGGTCTGTGGACTTGACCTGGTGGAATCACCCGTGGCTGGGACGGTTGCAAGTGGGGTGAGGGGACCTTGGAACATGGCGGCTGGCAAAGGCATAACAGTTTGTGTGGGCATGAAGGCGGCTGGCGGAAACTGCCCTGCCACGGTTGGCCAGGGCTGCTGAGTGGCGGGGAAGAGACCTGGCTGGCCCCAAGCGATGGGCTGAGCCCCAGGCATCACCTGAGCGACTGGTGGCTGAGCACCCATGGCGATCTGCTGTTGGACGAGGGGCTGCTGGCCCCAGAAGGATGGGAGGACGGCGCCCATTGCAACGTAACCTGGAAGGGTGGAAAAGAAGAGTCAGGCATCCTGGGAAAGAATGATTCATGGAGTCAAATGATTGGCAAAAACATAGTAGGCGACTTCTGAGTGTCAGGCTGTAAGCCGGGGATTGGGGATGCAACGATGAGTAAGACAGAAGTCCCTGCTCTCAGGGAGCCTGCTTTCTAGCGCAGAGGTCAGACGAAACCTCTCTAATGAGATGATTTGTTAGCAGAAACTAGGATGCAGCGAGGGGGCGAGCCAGGCAGACTTGGGTGGATGATAACAATACTGCTCCAGTTGTTAAAGGCTTCTGACATGGTGCAGCCTCGGGAGCCTGCGTGGCTCAGGGGAAAGGGCAGAGATCATAAGTCAGGTCCCTCTGGTTGGAATTTTGCCCCCTTCTTGCTAGCCCTGGGGAATTCTCAACTGCTGAAGCTCTCTAAGAGGCAGGCTCTTTGTGGGAGTGCCTGGTTATAGCATCTTCCTTCTTGGCATCAGCGCTGAGCATAAAGTGAGTAAGAGTCAGACTGCTGGGGTTTTAGAGGAGAGGTCAGTGTTCAGATCACCACTTCTCATCTGTGGCATTGAGAGGCAACTTCGTAAGCTATCTCCTGATCTGGAAAATGGGCATAAAATACCTTCGGCCTCATTGGGTTGGTTTAATGATTAATGGAGATTAGAGTGAACATTCAGTAAATGTTAGCAATGCACGTGGTCTGAATCAGACAGAGCCTATCAAGTACATAATAGCTTGCCTGATATATAGTAGCCATGCAATAAATGGTAGTTCTAGGTATAATTACACATTATTTCTGTATTATTATTATGCCAATTTTAAACTGAAAAAGTGTAGGTGATTGTCCACTCAGGAGCACTTCACACAGTGGCATAGGTTGGGCACTGCAAAACTCCAGGGGGTGTACTCACATATGTTACTGTGATAACTGCTTGCTGGATTCTTCCTTTCAGGGGAGATATAATCATTTTAAAAGGAGTGCAAGTGACACTTTTTACAATAACAATAGTAACAAAAATAATTTCCCGGGGCCGGCCCTGTGGGCAAGTGGCTAGCTTCACATGCTCTGCTTTGGTGGCCCAGGGTTTCACCTGTTCAGATCCTGGGCGCCGACATGGCACCACTCATCAGGCCATGCTGAGGTGGCGTCCCACATGCCACAACTAGAAGGACCCACAACTAAAAAAATATATATATATACACACAACTATATATTGGGGGGTATTTGGGGAGAAAAAGCAGAAAAAAAAAAGAAGATTGGCAACAGTTGTTAGCTCAGGTGCCAATCTTTAAAAGAAAAAATAACAATAAGTTCCTTTTATTGAATGCCTATAACGTGCGAGGTACAGTGTCAGGTGCTTACATCTTCATAAAATGCCCGCAGGGTAGGTATTTTTATCTCTCTTTTAGAGATAAGGAAATTGGTGCTCAGAGAGGAAAAGCACCATGTTCAGGGTCACACAGCTGGCGTGAAGTGGGATCAGGATCTGAACTGAGGTCATCTGTCTGTCCCCAAAGCCAGTGTTCTTTCCTCTGCACCACACTGCCTCACCAGAAGCCAAGGCTGATTTCTGATCTGAGCACAGTCAGAAGCCCTGGCCCAGCCATCAGATGCCTTAGCATTCTGGAGGCCCAGAGACACTCCCAAGGGTTTCCGGTGGTCCCTGCCCTTCTCAGGGGCCCCAACGGCCACCAGCATGTTGCAGCTGAGCCTGGGGGACAGACGACCAGGCCAGGCAGAGCACAGGGTGGAGAAGCTAGCTTTGCCCGGCCTCTCAGAACCAGCATTTTCATGGCTATCAGAAGGAATTTGCAGGCACAGAGCAGAGAGACCAGGAAAAGATGAAAGGCGGGTGCAGCATAGCCCAGCAACTTTCAAAGGGCAGACAGGCGGGCGCCGGGGCACTGGTCATGACACAGGTCATATCAGGACTCTGGTGAGCCCAGAGAAATTGTTTGCAGGGTGCCTCGCTCATGCTCCCATCTCACATCTGCCTGACCTTCCATTGACTGATAAGGGATGGAGCCAACATTCACAGTCAGGTCATTTCCTTGCAAGGTGACAGGAGGCTCCAGAGGGCCAGAGACAGGACAGCAGGCTCTTGCTAATTAATCTGGCAGTGTTAAATGCTTTTATGGAATGAGGAAGGGGCGTCAACAAACAAAATAGACCACATCCTCATGAGATCACCTTAGTCCTGGGGCACTGAAATAAGACTGGTGAACAGGCATTGGTGCTGGCATTTAAAACAGAAACTTGCTTACGTTGTTTCTTGCCTCCCTATCACATAATAAGGCGGTGACTTGAACCTACCAATAGACTAAGAATTCTGTGAATTTGTTTTTCTGGTTTACTCTGATGGGGCTCAGTGGTTCTGAATGGGAGTGCTAACACCCCCTAGGGGATGATTAGGAAGTTTGTGGGGCGTGCTGGTTGTCATAATAACGTGGTCAGGGCAACACTACCGGTATTTAAGAGGCCAAGAGCATTGACACTAAAGATCCTGTAGCGGTGGGACCGAAGCGCACAACAAAGGATTATCTCACATTCTGTTTATAGCTGTGTGAGTATAGACTCGACTTTGAATTATGTGGAAATTCAAAGTTTCTTTGCAGTTTTAATGCACTTAATTTTCCAGGAATGTAACAACCGTGCACATTGAGGGAAGGCTGTATTTTGTCTCATTTGGAACCCTGTCAAGAGTTGTTCAGCAATTCGGAAAATCGTGGTCCCTGACTTCTCCTGCTGTCTGAGCCAACGCGACACTCCTGGGGCGGTCTGCACCTGTGGGGGTTCTATTTATGGGGAGACACACCTGACCACTCAGCATGTCCTCTGCTGTGGTTGACCTGGGTATTTTCCTCATTGAAATACATATTTTTCTATTATAAGTTAGCTTTTGTTTGTTTCTGCCTTATTTACAGATAGGGCATTACACTGATTTTTGAAAAACTGGGTAGGTAGGTTATATTATATATGAATTTCATATTTCACGTCAAGATATTAAAGGAGACATTCAAATACTTGTTATAAAAAGGGGGCGCTGAGTTTGACAGGGTCGAGGCGTGCCACAGATCTTTCAACCACCCCCGCCCTGATGCCCATGTTGGTGAATGGATGGAAGTTTTCAGCCTCCAGCCAGTCTGCTTTTTACTTTGCTTCCATCCCACCCTCCTCATTGCCAAGAGAGGTCTGTTCTCAAATGCAAATACAGTGCTTCATTGTCTTGAGCGTAAGGCTCAGATGCCTTAGCTTGGTTTATGAGCCTTTGGGGGTCAGCCCCCTTTGTCCCCCTTCAGCCCCATTTTCAGTTCGTTATTGCCATTGGCACCTTTCCCTGCAGCAGCTGCAAACGACACTCAACCTGCTCTCTCGTCTCTGCTGGTCCACCTGCCGGGAAAGTGGCCCCAACTTCTTCACATGGCCACTACTTCTTACCTGCTCTCTGAGACTCAGCTCAGTATGACCTCCCAGGGGTCTGCCCTGCCCTCTAGACTCCAGTTGGTTCTCCTTCGCCGGGCCTGTGCTGTCCCCTGTGTTCATCTTTGGCACGGCACTTGTCACACTGGGTTGTAATTGCTCAGTTATTCTGACTTCCCTCATTAGGCTGGAAAGCGTCTGCTAGCAGGAACCCTTTATTTTCTCTCTCTCTCCCTCCCTCTGTCTAGTACAGTTTTTGGCATATATCAGCTGCTCCATAAATGCTTGAGACTGGAAAAGGCTCTACATAAAGGTGAATGAGTCATAGTAGAATAAATGTCTTCACTGAATTTTTCCAAGTGTACAATTAAACTCCCAGATCCATAAGTGCTGTGATCTCTGATGATGCTACTGTTGGTGGCAGGTTTTTCCCCCTTATCTTTTTTTTTTACACAAGGAACCAACAGATGGGCTGTGCACACTTTTCTGGAGAGCTATTAGCATGTCTCTCTGGCTTCATGCCATCTGCTTCAGACCAAAATACAACATTCAAAAAAAAAAGAAAGGCAACACAGGGTAAGTGGGTATCACGTTTGGGAACCTGCAGGTCTCACTGGCTTTTCCTGGGGGGTCCCTGCCGCCTGGGCTCTCCCCAGACCTGTGAGCTAAGGTTCCTTGGTCACATGGTGTGTGCATGCCTGATGCGATGCCTCAGGGGCAGGGCTGTGGTAGCAGTGGACACAGGGAGCCACTCGGTAGCTGCCACCGCAGCCACTTAGCAGCTTAGTAACCGTTTACTCATTAACGTTCACCGTTCACCAGTGGAGGGTGGAGGTGCTAAGGTGCATCTGTTTACGTTACAGAGTTCAGATCAATCATGAATCTTGCTGTGAAGTGAAAGGAAACACCTGCATTATTGCCTTGCAGTTAGAGTTTTTTAAAATGTTGAAAATTGCAATTTATAACCAGATGCTGGCACCGGGGGATACCCTCATTATTTGGGAAAAAAAAAAAAAAAGGCAGACTAAAATGTAAGGAAAACACTAAAAGTAAGGGATTCCCTCAACATTTATATAGAATTTATATGGTCCTTTACCTCTGACACCTCCTGACCCCCCGCCCCTCCAGTCTGCTCACCTCTCACCTCTGTGTGAGCCCCTCCTGACCACACCTCCATTGACAGCTGCCCTCCGCCTGCTCCAAAGCCCCATCCTCTGCTCTACATTTCCTTCTGTCCATACCACTTAACATCTTCTAACATGTTACATAAGTCACTCTTTTTATGTTGCTGTCTGTCCTCCCAAAAGAAAATAGGCCCTCTGCGGGCAGAGGTCTGTGCCTGTCGTACTCACTGACACATCTCCGGCCCCTAGAGCAGGACCTGGACCATAGTGGGCACTCAGTGAATATTCGTGGAATGAACATGCCTGCACATTAGTAAGTTTGGTGCCTGGATTTCCTGTCATCTGTCCCAGTATATCTTCAGGGATCCAATAACGGGGTAACACACAGGGTTCTGGGCCAGGCTGGTGCCACAGGAAGGTGGTGCATTTCTTTTTTTTCCTCCCCAAAGCCCAAGTACATAGTTGTATATCCTAGTTGTGGGTCATTCTGGTTCTTCTATGTGGGAAGCCACCACAGCATGGCCTGGTGAGCGGTGTGTAGGTCCACACCCAGGATCTGAACTGGAGAACCCTGGGTCACCGAAGCAGAGCATGCAACCTTAACCATTTGGCCATGGGGCCAGCCCCAGGTGGTGCATTTCTGATGGAAAACTATTATTCTTATTTAAAATGACATACTCTATTATACTATTCCCAAGGAAATTTTAACATCCATTTTAGGTAAGGAAAGCTAGTCATCACCACTGTCCCATTTTAGAGATGGGTAAAACAGACTCAACTGGGAAGCTTAGCAATTATACAAATTTCTAAGTTACCTGTAGATTCGAAATTGTAAGTTAGATCCAGTGGCTACCAACTTCTGTGGCTTCTAAAAGTTCATAATGATCCTTGAGCTCATGAGGAATAACTGTAACTATTTCTGCAAAGACTATGAATTTTTAATTCACTTTGAATAACAGCAAAGTTTATATTTGATGGCAAGAATTTGCTTCTAACAGTATATAATTAAAAGTAATCATTTATAGGAAAAAATGCAAGATTTGTATTCTAAAATATTCAATTCTATTTGCCATTTACAAAAATAAAGTAAAAACAGAAAGATGAAGCCACCGATTTCAAATATGTAGTTAAAGAAGGAAAAAAGTCTTTAGGGCTCCCGTGTCTGTAAAAAGCAGAATATCACCCTTGGCCATTTCCAAGTAGAGTGCCCTGGCTACATGGAGTGCCTGATGCCATGGAAACAAGTTAAGATGCCTGAGATTCTTACCAGTTTGTAACTCATCTGCAACACTGTTACTATATATATTTTTTACCCTGTTGTAAAATTAGTAAATATATTTTTAAGAATATTAGGAAAACAGAACAAATTCTTTGCAAATCCCCAGGTGCCCTATCACCCTCCCAATTGACTGTGAGCCGTTTGCTTTGTCCCTTAGGTGTCCCCCTTTGTGTGGGGAAGCTCCCCGTCCTGAGTCTTCACCGAATGAGGCAGGTGCCTTCTATCAGCCAGATCTCAGGAGGTCCTCGCAGGGTTGACTCCTCTCCTCTCCCACTCGCCGACTTCCCTCCCTCTGGCTGAGATGGACAGGAGGAAATGGACTTGCACTGATTTGCATGGCTGAGTGTGCCCAAGCTCCCTAAAGCTAAATACACTTCAGTAACCAGGAATTTTGACCTTTCCGGGTGAAAGACACCACTGAATTCCAGCCAAGCAGCATACCACAGCTTGTAACCACCACCCACACACCCCAAATGACAGCTTCTTGATGTCACCCGAAGAGTCACAAGGCGAGGACGGTGGTTCCACGAGTGTTTAGCATATTGGGCAGCTGGCTCAAGTCAACCCTTTGTCTGTCTTGATGAGTGGGGGCCAAAGGCAGGGAAACAAGTGGACGAGGGCTCACCTGAGGGTACAGCAGCAGTGCCAAAAGGTACAGAGCCAAACATGTCTGCACTCGCCGGAAGTGTCTGAGATGAAGACGGGATAAAGGCATCACCTGGAGTGGCAGGAGTCTGCAGACAGAAAGAGGCAGAGGGTGCATGAGGATCCCGGGAGACCTGGCTCAGCTGTCCTCAAGGATGGGAGGCAGGAGAGGCAGGAATTAAGTGGAAGGGGGTGCTGCTGAACCGAGCCACTGTCCAGGCCACTAAGGTGGTGTGGAGACCATGAGCTGGTTGCGTAGATTATCTACAAAACCGGAAAAATGATGCCTGCCTCTAGAGCTGCTGTGAGAATTAAATAAGGTCCTGCATTTGAACCACTTGGTATCACGCTGAGGCATACAGTAGGTGCTGAGACCCTGGGAGGTGTCTTCAGGCCATCAAATAATTCCATAATGTTTGGCTTTCATGCTTTAGAGGTGGTCAGTTAAAACTGACATACACCCACCCAGGACCTACTGTGCACCTGGCTCAAGGCTTGTCACTCAATGCATGGTAAATAGACAGTCGTTGGCTAAAGGAACAAAGAAAGCATAGCGACTGGACAGAGACCTTTGTATCCCAGTGCCTCCCAGAATCCTGCCTGAATCTTCACTTGCATAAAGAAGTACATATGTTCAAGAGGATGATAAAAGATTGCCTGAGCAGCGGCACACTTCACCACGCCCAGCCGGTGCTGAAATTCCAGAAAGGTCCGCAGCACGAGCTGGTGGGCAAGGGGAGGGTGCTCAAACACACACACCAGTGCTCACTTTCTTTTTGAGGTCCACACCCGATTACAGCAGCCTTTTGCCTACAGAGTATGTCTATTCCATGCCATAATATCCTTATTTTTTTCCCTTGGAATAGACTGGGGCAAGCAATTAATCCTGAAACCACGGCAATTAGTCAAGTCCATTTTTAGACCAGCAGCTTGCAGGACGAATGGCATTGTTCTGAGGATTATTAAATACCCATTTGGATTGCACTTGGGTTCAGGGCCAGAAACACAGCCATGAGCTGCTGTGTTAAGCATTTTGAAACACAATCAACACTCTTCTCTTTTCCCCTATGTGACCCTGGGTGAGTCACATGCCCTCTCCAGGACTCAGTTTGCTCATCTATAAAATGAAGGGGATAGGTTCGAAGATCTCTTCAGACCTTTCTAGCTCCACAGCCCCATGGTTCTGAGATTCCAAATGCCCAGGATGCAGCTGTTAGCCTGGGATGGAGAAGAGGATGAGAATGGCTAGAGCTATCCAGCCTCCCTGGAGAAAGGAGCTGCTGTCCCCTCCCTCGGCTGCTATGGACATCAGGTGTTGGGAGTAGGGCAGCTGTGCCGAGATCCCCTGGAGGCAGCTGTGGGCAGCAGGGCCTTGCGCCATCTGTCCTCAGTGGTGAGGTTACAGCCTATTCTCTGTGAGGCGCATCTTGCCAATGAACCATAGCACCATCCCTCGGCTGGCACCACTGCACAGTGCCCAGAGGAGCTGCTGCCTCGCAGCAGCTTCAGCTGGTGCAGCTGCAGCCAGCTGCTCTCCGCCCAGCTCCGGGGCATGGGCCCGTGGGAGCTGAAGGCGGTCAGCACTCTGTTCTTTGCAGTGGCTGCAGCGGTGCCTTTGAATGCATCCAGTTCTCAAAGCACTGGGATTCTACTTTGCTTTGATTTTCCTTCTTTTCATTTTCAAATTAGGGCTCCCTACAATCTCTTGCTGGCTGAAGCTGGAGCTGGGAATCTGAAACTTCATGAGAAGTTCAGCAAAGCTAGGAGGAGGATTGAAAGTGGGGAGGAAATAAAAAGAAGAGGAGGAGAGGAGGGAAAGAAAGGAGAGAGGAAAGAGCAGAAAGGGGCCGGGAGAAGATGCTTCCTGCACTGATCTGACCACCTGGCTGCGCGGGCTCTGGGCAGGTGCTGACAAATGCTCATTGTGTCTGTTGTCCTGTTGGGTTTCTTGCCCATTTACTCAAGTAGACTGTGTGCGCCTTGCAGGCAGGGACCACATCCCATTCACGCCTCTCTCCACTGCCAAGCACAAAAGTAAGTACCCAGGGGATGGACTGTAATTGCTGATGCATGGTCTCATTTATTTCTCATAATTCCTTTCTTCAAAAAGAATTGCTAGTCAATTCGCCCAAATCACACAGCTTGAAAGAGCCCAAGTTGAAATCCACCAGCAGGCCTCTTCCACCCAAAGCCCATATTCTTGCCACCGTGCGACTGAAGAAGGAAAGGGGAGGGAGGCAGGATTCAGAGGGCAGTGCGTACTTACAGGAGGAGAGGTTATATCAGGAGGGGTGGACATGTCCCCAAAAAGTTCTAATTGGGTCACAGCCTGAAAAGACAAAAAGATAATGATGTAACTACAAGGAACGCTGACGTTGCTGGATACTGCTTTAAAAACAGAATAGGAGGACACACATTTCTCTTTTTCATCATGACTATATAAACGATAAGTTCAGTTGGTCATTACTATACCTCAGGATCCCAAAGACGCATCTTGGATGTGGCCAGAATCAATTCTTGCTTCAGTGTGTCTGGCTGTTTATCTGGGCTTGACTGCCTCCCATAAGCAATAATAATACCACTTTACACGTCTTGACCCTCGAATGCCAGCACTGTCCCCCTTCTCCAGGAGATACAGGCAAGAAGCCCACCTCATCACTTGTTTGTCTTTCATAAGTGTATCCACATGTCCAAGATGCACTTCCTGTGCTAAGTACCACAAGACGTGACTTCCCGGCCACCTCTCAGGAGGTGATCCCAGCACCACTAACGCTGAGAGCTGGGGATCATCACTCCCCTTCTTACAGATGAATCGACTGAGTCTCACAGAGGCAACCTCAAGGTCACCTAGCCAGGACTTGAATTTTCTGTCTAAAGAACATACGGTTCAATGACAGCCCCTGAAAGAGTCCATCTTTAGGATAACAAATGCAGTTGGAGGAAAAGAAAACATATCATTTAATACCAGGAAGGACATCAAAAACAGCCCAGTATATACACTATTAATCACTCCTAGGAACTCCATCACCACAGACACGGTACCGTCTACATTCCCATCCATCATCCGGCAGTGTCTGAGCAAGGCCAGCCAGAGCAGCGGAAGAAGCCCTTTAAGATACACTCAGAAATTAATCTGCATGCACTTCCAGCTCCAGAGACCGTGGGAGTCTGTGGCCAGGAATCAAATGGCCTGACAAAGTATATAATCATGTGCTTTGTGCAAACCTGCCCACTGAGGGGAAGACATGTTCTGCTCATCTTTGGATTTTAAGCGATAGCTTCTAATCGGGGAAACCTGAAAACACCGCTCCATAGAAAGAGCGGGGAGCGCCTGCCTGCTGGCCTGCAGCATGGGGTATGGGCCCTGAGCTCTAATGCAGTTCTAACCAGGCGCGGCCGGATCTCTGCGATTCCCACAAAGAAGGGACCGTTCCTGGCCACCAACAGATGAGCGGAGATCCAGCCAGCTTTTGGCAAAGAAGTTCCATGAGGGTTTTCTCAAGGAAATAGCCCCGATTTGAATCCTGAAGGAGAGAAGCAGTTGGCCAGCAATCAAGGAGAGGAGGGACGGTCCAGGCAGATGAAAGGATGTGAGCAAAAAGACAGAGGCCTGGAACAGCCTGCGTAGCTGGGTACAAGCAGAAGGTGTAACCAGCATGATGGTGGAGAGAGGAGCAGAGAGGAGGTTGGTGACGTGGACACGGGCAAGGTCGTGTGGGACTTGCGTGCATTTCCTTCTTTTCCACGAACTCTTCACTGCCTTGATTCTGTCTCACACAACACCATTCCAGATTTAGGAGACAGCAATGAGGTGGCCAGCATGCAGGCTGCTCCCAAGTCTGGCTGGATCCTAAATACTTGCTTGTCTTCAGTAAGGCTTCTTTAACTTGTTAACAATATTTTATATTATTTGGTGAAACTAGGCCACTCCTTTAGGCTCTTTCCTAAATTCATAAAAGAAATAATTCTATTTAATCAATTCAAATGAAGCCTCTGGGCTTTCTTGCAATTGGAACTCAATGCTTTTAAAATGGCCCACAACTATTTTCAGTGGTAGGAAAATATTAAAATGAAGTTAATAATTAAGTCACACAATTTACATTTCAAATGTGTTGAACTCGTGGCACACTTTTACTAACATCATAAATATAATTTATTGGCTAATTTTCTCCTTCAGCACAACTTTGAAAATAACCTTCATTCTTGAGATAGAGACTTCCTCTTGCCAGATGATTTTCACTCAAGGATTAAACGAGGAAAACATGCAGAGGCATAAAACAGAGATTGTTATTTCATTCCATTGCATTTGCTGTTTAAATAGAACCTTGAGTTAATTAAATTTTATAGAAAAAGGGGATTCTTAGGCCATAAAATAAAAATAATTCTAATAACCATATGTGATTGAAAATCTGGAATAATATCTATTTTCACAGCCTCTCTCCCCATGTTAATCCTAGTCCTTTTATTTGTAACCTAATAAGCCATGTTCCATCTGATAATTTTCTCATAATTAATCATTTTAAAGACCTCGAGAGAATAAAACGAACATTCACATTTGTAAAACACTTTACAGTTTACACTGCATTTTCCTACATTATCATCCTGCCTGACGCTCACGGGGGCTCCCCCGGGTTGGCAGCGCAGGTCTCTCACTGTCCTCATGGTGCAGATGACTAAGTGAGACTGAGAGCTTAAGAGTCGTGCCTCTCGTCAGTCAGCTAAAAGCAGCTGGACTTGACCACGGACCAAGCAGCCCCTTGCTTATCTATCGCTCACTTTACCAAGCCCTAGTTAGACCGCCTAAATGGGGGAAGCCCAGCCCCACCATCTTCCCTAAGCAGAAGTCAGGGTCCGAAAATTTCTGCCATGGTGCACAAGCATCTGAGGAGGTCATCAGGGAGCTTGCTTCGAGATGCCCACTCGCCCATCCATCCCAGCACTTCAGATGTCTTAGAGGAGACACCTGTCGATGGCAGATTCTGCCCCTTCTCTAGGCCCTGGGCAGGTTCCAGGTAAGCAGAGTGACACTGGAAGCTGCCAAACCCATGATGGGGAGGAGGAGTGGCTTGGCTTTGGAGGGAGGAGCCCCCCTCAATATCTCCATCAGGCCAGTCCCCACCCCAGCCATTCTTTAATGTGAACAGGGATGTTTCCACAATAATATCTGGAGTGCTGTACCACTGCTGTTTCAAGATGTCTCCCGGTCCTTCTCTCAACTAGAATGCTGCCACCGGCCTCCCGGCGTGCTAGAGAGAAGTCCTGAAGGGCTGCTGATGAAGGCTGAGATGTGCCTTTGTACATGCTCCTCGTCCTCCTCAGAGCACTCATTCCTTCCCCCATTGCCTTTCCCACCCATCCTTTAGGACATAAATTAGAAGGATTTTTTTCTTTTCTGGAAAGTGTTTCCTAACTCAATTTGCACCCATTCCACTGCTCAGAACAGCTTATGTGACACTCTCAGATCAGCGGTTCTCAATTTTGGGTGCAGCAGGGGAAAAATACAGATGCCTGGTTCCCACCCCTCAAGAATTAGTTGGTTTGAAGTATAGCCTAGTAACTTGGACTTTCAAAGCTCTCCTGGTGATTCTAGTTTGCAGCCAATGTTGAGGACCCCTCCCCTAGAGGCTTCCCAAACATCCTGTACTCAGGGCTGATAATATTCACTGGCCTGTGCATCAACCAAGCTGAGTAAACACTGGCTGCCAACCAGCACATCTATTCCAGGGTATACCCACTGAAGAGCAGCCTTGCCTGGTTTTCACTCCCACAGGTGCACTTAGCACATCCTCTTTATGTGTCTGTTCTACTACACTACATTTGGCTCTCTACCCTACCCCATCCCATCCTTTGCTGTGCAGTGTTGCACTATGTCACTATGTTGTACAATGAGCTTCCTCAGGACAGGGCCCATGTCTTCCTCTCTACTGCATCTCTAACATCTATCACTATGCCGGGGATATGTTGGGAGCTTGAAAACTATTTGTTGAATGAAATGAAGGGGTGCTACTTCCTCTCCAACACACACACACACATACACACATTCTCACTAATTGACCTCACCACAGGCTCACCAATAGTCTTTCTGTGAACATCAGAATAGGCACCCACCGGAGAGAGCAGAGCGAGCGCCTGCCATTCATCCTGGCCAAGTGAGGATAATGTAGAACGCATGAGAATGACCAGAACAACCGTCATATGACAAGAGCCTGGAGGCCTTACCTTTGTTACCTCAAAAATCTCATGAAAGTCCATTGGCAGGTTTCTGTTCTGTAACCACAAGGCACGACTTATGAGCGTGAGATGAACGATGGGGTGATGACATGAGACAGTTAAAAACAGTTAACCAGACGGAGCCCTCTCATTCTTACCGGGGTGGCTGCAGCAAACCGTTCTTCAAAATCTTCAATTGCATGGCTGTTCTGAAAGTGTAAGGGATGATGAATGAGGATGAAAGTGAATGACACACAAATGACATGGATTTATGAGTTTAATGATGATGGGGTCTATGGTTTACACTCCCGTGGTCTCAGTAGGCGGGAGCCCTTGCCATTGTACTGTGAAAACCCTGGAATATGTTCCTAGCATAAGCAGATGATAAAACATGGGCTTGGGGTTTGCCCCATGGCTGAGTGGTTAAGTTCGCGCGCTCCGCTGCAGGCGGCCCAGTGTTTTGTCAGTTCGAATCCTGGGCGCGGACATGGCACTGCTTATCAAACCATGCTGAGGCAGCGTCCCACATGCCACAACTAGAAGGACCCACAACGAAGAATATACAACTATGTACCAGGGGGCTTTGGGGAGAAAAAGGAAAAAAATAAAATCTTTTAAAAAAACAAAAAAAACATGGGCCTGATTAGGAAACACAGCAAAGGTCAGTTTGCTTTTTTGTTTTTTTGAGGAAGATTAGCCCTGAACTAACATCTGCTGCAAATCCTCCTCTTTTTGCTGAGAAAGGTCGGCCCTGAGCTGACATCTGTGCCCATCTTCCTCGACTTTATATGTGGGACGCCTGCCACAGCGTGGCTTGATGAGTGATGTGTGGGTCAGCGCCTGGGATCTGAACCGGTGAACCTGGGGCCACTGAAGTGGAACGTACGAACTTAACCACTGCACTGCTGGGCTGGCCCCCGTAAGTTTGTAAGTTTAAAGTCCATCTTTCTAAAATTACAGACCTTACCCAGCCAGTCTCAACAGTGCCAACAGATAAGAGCATGATGGCAACCCCTGAGATTTTTGTTTTAAAAGGAAAACACGCCATCGTGTGCTTTAGGCAAACGTGACTCTTTGGAGCAGTCTGTGAACAGCTGGTTCTGTAAGTGCCTTTGCACACGGTGTTCTCCCTGCTTGAAACGCTCATCTCCTCACCCCTGCTAGCTCCAAGCTCACCCGATTCCTCAACCCAGCTGAAAGGCCACCTCTTCCATGAAGCCTTCCTCCCTCTTCAGTCTTGTGAGCCGAGAGTCCTCTCCTGAGAATAGCAGCACATCATCTGTGCCTGCTGCCCTGTGAGCTTCCTGAAGCAGGGAACATGTTCCTGAATCCCCAGCAGCTCACAGAGGGTCTGGCACAGAGCAGTGCTCAAAAATACGGGCACGAATGCATGTTCTAAAAGTAGCCGGCAGTTGACCAAATCTAATTGTTTTGTTAATTTTTTATTTGTTTATAATTGTGGACAATTTCACCAAACTACTCCGTAATATTGCGACCTCAGCATCCCACTTTGTGTGGCTGAGTGGCCTGCCGGGGCCTTGAACTGACACCAGACCCCGCAGTGAGGCACGCCCTAGGGCACAGCCTGCAGAGTCACGAGTGCTGTCGGTGTCGGTCGGTGTCATTCCTCACAGCCCTCCCCAACAGCCCCTGTGACAAGCAGTCCCCCCGCCTGCCAGGGCCCTCTCCCATGTGCCTCTTAAATAAGACCCCTGGAAGCTTACCAGAACCCTGCTCTTCTGGGTCTGAGCTGACCAATTCAGCCTCAGCCCAGGAACTCTGAAGCACTCTCCCCTGGTTCCCTAACAAAGGCCTGAGCCCTGGGTCCTGCCTGGCTCTCTCTGCCTGCACCCTGCCTTGACCTCCCTGCGTGGCCCCTCCCCCAGGGCCTGTGACTAATAAACTTCTGTTTCAACTCCCTTGCCGTCTCCCGTCTTCTGTTGAACTATGGCTCACCATCGACAGGGCTCTGCTTAACAAATGTTAATTTAACAAAGTCACAACAGGAACATATATTATAGATAATACACATAATATCTACTATATATACATACATATATATTTCTAATGACCATGTTTTGGTCTATACATATAAGCTAATTATTCTTTGGATGATTTCCAAGTAGTGTAACGTTCATGAATCTGATAATATGGACATTAAGTTGGAGTTATTATGTATGAACAGAAATAATCACATCATTTCCTAATTTTGAGGAGGGCTTCCTGTTGGCAATGGAGGAGTGGAGAAGTCATCCCCCATAATCACTTTCACCCTGTTTGTAGCAGATGTGGCTGTGACATCACTCAGCCCCAGTTACAGGGCTGCAGAGCAGGAGAACCCACGTGCCTGAGGCCACCATGACCAACTGCCAGCGAACTCTGTCATCAACGACCTGCCTCCACCAGGCACTGGCTGGCCCAGGGTCAACTGCAGCCGAGAGGAGGGCAAGCCACATCAGATAACCACATGCATTATTATCATTATTACTTGGCCAGAGGTGGGGAGAGGTGGCGAGACAATATTAGTCTAAGTGATCCTGTAATCTACGGTGTGGCCTGAAAGGTTAAGGTTATGTCGCTACATCCTTTATAAATTCACACCCTTCTAGGGATTTATAGCATGGCCCCTACCAACTAGCTCTGGGTCATAACTTTTAATAAAAACATTTTTTAGTGTCCAAAATCTCATTACATCTGTCCAATATAAAAAAGCAAATGGCTTCAGAGCATGATGGATGAATTAAATAAATCTGAAAAACAGCTCATGGTAGAGTCTCATAAAAACCCCCACCATATAATGAAAATGAAGAGGAGAACCAGCGTTGGCGTGAGCCCGTCCATTTCCTGGTGACAGATAGGTGGCCTTTGGTGAGGTGTGGAGCTGGGGTGGGATGAGGCCATCTCTGAACACTCAGATGAAGCTGGATCTGGGTATGTGAGCAGAGGTACCTCTCTGGAGTCATGCAGATATGGACTGGCTGGACCACATGGTGGTCACGTGACCCTGGACAGGTCGGTTAGCCTCAGTTTTCTCATCTTTTTTAGAGTGGAGATAATAATGACAACATCTCGGGTTTATCGACAGGATTAACTGAGACATGTATGCAAAGACTTGTTTGGTGTTTGGCACATAGTAGATGCTCAAAAAACAGCTTTTATTAGTAGTTTTCATCCTATTTCTTTTGGTTGATTTTTGCAATGCACAGTCACACATTTTTTAATGTTAGGAAACTATTATGATACTTGGAAAAAGAAAGGAGAAGAAGAAACAAAAATCTTGTCAAAGGCCCCTCTTTAGAAGCCACCCCGTCTGAGAGTGTAGGCCGGGCCCGTGTGACAGGACGCCTGGCGCTTCCCGGCCTCAGTCCTGAGCCCTCAGCCCATACTTGACCCCATCTCCCTCCCATCTCCCTCCTGGCTAGTCTTGCCTGATCATCTTCTTCCTCCCACACCTTTTGTATCTGGTGCTTGGGGTTGCCTTCCTGATCTGACCCTGGCTCAGTCACTTCTCCGAGCTCCTTCCTCCTGTCTGGGCTGACCTTTGGGAACACCCAGTGCACTTCATCCAGCCCATGGGGAGATCCTTGCAGCCAGTGCACGTTGTCCTAGCTGATTCTCATGGTAGGACCTAGAATCCATTCCCTGCTCTTCCCGCATCCCCACTTCTTGCTTTACCCACAATTACTACGAGAGAGTTAGTTCATTTATCTTGAAGACTTTTTGTTTCCATGTAGACATACTGTTCACACTTACTATCATAGCATGCCTGCAGCTTTGTATTCTGCTTTTGAAAACTCAACATGACATCAAATTTACTCACAACTTAAACTTCCAGTGAGGAAGTTTAAAGGAAGAGATTCTCATGTGTTGTTTCAATACATCGCTCCCTGAATCTTCGCTAAGACATTGAAATCAAGCTTCCGAGGGGAGCTTCTCTTCCCATGATCTCTTTTTGGAGCAGTGGGGACACAACTATATCATAACTGAGTAAGGTAACTATTAAGACCATATTCTTGTTACTCTTGCAGCAAAAGCGACAGTGGATGAGCTGGGACTTGGGGCAAGCATGTCAAAAAGGAGGAAAAGTTATTGACGGCTGCCAAATCAGACACCTGCGGCGGTTCTCACCCCTGACTGCAAAATGCAATCCTACCGACGCCTGAGCCCCGCCATCTGAGATTTGGATTCTCTTGGTCTGGGGCAGGGGCTCTGGCATCAGGAGGGTCTAAAAGCTGCCCAGGTGATTCTACTGTGCAGCCAGATTTGCGAATCACCATGCTGGGGACCGAACTCTGTAGGAATAATTAGTGAAAGTCCTACTGGGAAAACTGAAGGCATCTTGATTGATGATGTAATTGATTAACTAATTTCTTCAGCAAACATTCACTGGGTGCTTTCCACATGCCATGTCCTGGGGCTAGGCATTGGCGCTACAACGATGAATAATACATGGTCCCTGCGCTCCTGAAGCTCAGGGCAGAGCCAGTATAGATAATCATTCTAGCTTGGGGTGGGATAAGCGTGGGACAGGGGGGGCACAAGGCTTCTAGATCTAAACTCGGAACTCAGGCCAATACTGCAAAAGAGTGAATTCAATTATCCACTTAGAAAGCCGAGGAGAAATGGATTAACTAAACTGATTTGTAACCGCACCAAGGTGGGTGCTATTAAGGCATGCAGTGATTCCAGGTATTTGAACGCATTGTGCCTTTGCCTGCTGAGTAACTTAACTGGGAAGACACATACTAATGAAGACTAATTCCCTCTGGGGTATCTAGGCGTTTACACACTCTATCATCTTTACCTAAGAGCAAATAGCTACTTTCCCACTTCTCAGCAGAGAGAGACCAGAAAAACTCTGGCAGTTGAAGAACAAAGTAGGAAAGGGGGTGGTGGGAGTGGATACGGGGAACAGAAACTGTGATGTTAATAAATGATTTTTCCCAAGAGCAACACCCTCCAATAGGACTTTCTGTGATGGTGGAAAGTTCCATATCTGCACTATCCAATATGGCAGCCAGTAGCTACACGTGGCTATAGAGCAATATGGTTAGTGTGACTGATGAACTGAATTTTAAATTTTATTTAGCCTTAATCTCAATTTAAATAGCCACATGTACCTAGTGGCTATTGTGCTGGATGGCACAGCTCTAGAGAACATATATTTTAAAAAGCACTTCCAGTTGCCTGGGTGCTTTCTAAATACTAG